CGGAAGAGCCCCAAAACCCCAAAACCCCAAAACCCCTTATGGTTGCATTCATCATGTATAAGTTGAAGTAAATTAAGTTAAATTTAAATTTTCAAATAAAATGGAGGAATTGGAATCTAAGTAATCACTAGACAATTTAGCAAATTTCTTTACCAAATAGCCTTAAATTCAGAAACTGCTTTCAGAATCAAGAGATTTTGCTGACTTCAAAGCTTAGAAAGTTAGAGAACTAGATGATGATACCAGATATTTGAAGATTTAACAATTAGAGAGTGAAAATTAGCAATTAAAACAGATTGTATAAGAGATGCGTAAAGAGATAGAACAGATAAGGGACAGAACAATGAATCAAAATGCTCATGCCTAGTCAATATTTGAACTGAGAAGAGAAGTATATAAACTCTAAGCAGATAAAAAGAGTCTTGAATTAGAGAAGGAATTTCTAGAAAATAATCATAATCAGTTTAAAGATAACTCAAATATACTGAAAGAACTGAATGACAAAGAAAGTGAACTTTACGAGGCTAAAATCAAATTAATATAAAAAGATAATGAAGTAATGGGTCTCAATTAAAGACTTAACACACTTGATAGATAGGTAATATAGTACAGGACTGAGAGAGACAAATTACTAGAAATTTCAAATGAACTCAGAGCATAGATTTCAAGATTTGAGAGAGAATAAGAAAATCAAAGAACAAATGCTCTCATTATGAGAAATCAACCTATGTAGAGCAATAGCAATCCTTTTCAGCAAACTTAGAGTGATGACTTGCAAGAGAGCAAGCTAGATAAACTGAGACTTGAAGTTGAATAAATGAGAAATATGGTAAACTAATTTAAGATAGAGAACAAAGATCCAAACACCACTGACTAATTTGGAGAAAGACCAGAACTTTTTTAGAAAAAGGATCATTATAAAGTAGATGTGGAAAAGTTGAGAAGTCCTCTTCATTAAAAAAGCATATCCTCTACAAATTAATTCTAGAATTAATAAGATCATTCGCAATTCAACTAGAGAGTATCTTTTAATGCGATGGTGTCCAATAAAACATCAAGAGATCAAAGCAGAGAGAAAGAGTATGATATTAGAAATTCAATAAAAATGTTTGAGAGATTATCTGTGGATTAACAAATACAAAGACAACAGCTGCTGTTTGAAAAAGAAATTGATAATTAACTCAATCAACTTCATGAAGAAGAAAATTAGAGTATGGCAAGTAGTTAGCCTTAAAAGCAAACAAAGCGTGAAAAGTCTAAGAGGAGGCTATAAGAACTCAAGTAAAGTAAGTGCAAATTTTATTTGTAAAATTTACTATAGCTTACAACTCATCATAACTTGAGGAAATGTTTCCTGTTAGAGACTCTATTAACTTTTGATTTAAACAATATAATGAGTGTTTATAATATAAATTTGGAAGTGTATTAATTAGAAGAGGCATTAAGATTAATTAAGCTCATAATAATATATTCAGATCTTCAAACATTAACTAATCCTACTGCTTCACGAAACATATTAAATTAATACACACACATTAATAATGTGCTGTACTTGCTTGAGTTCACATTTACTCAAGCACACTCTCTCGATCTATTTACACCTATTCTCATGTCTTATTTTGTTTATTATACGAGTTATTTTAATACTAGTTTTATTAGTGCGTGCTATACCCCTAATTAGCTTGGTTACTCCCTGAATAATAATTCTATTAAGATTAACTATAATTAGCTGATTAAATGTTGTTGTTGTTTTGTTTGTTTTTTGGTATATATTATTAAGTTTAATTATTTTGGTAGCTATTGCTCTAAGAGTTTTGATACTATTATTATGAGGATTGCGCCTAAGAATTACTATTATTTCCACCTCCACTGGTGTTATTGTTATTCTGTCTATAGTGAGACTACTGATAGGACTAGCCGCCTTATTTAGATTGATTGTAATTATGCTGCTAACTCATTGTAAACTGGACTGGCATCTGATTGATCACCTCCAGTGTAGTCAAAATTTACTTTTTAGGATCCTTCTGATGATATATCAAATAGCACAAGTAGTTTCCCAATTTAAATGGTAGCTCCTGACCATTTTTAGATTATTTGATCGGCATATTTTCATTCATCGGATTAAGTGGGAGATGTTCAAGATCTTTAAATTAATAGTCACCTTGAACTACCCATCTCACTTTGAAATTACCAGCATATTGGATTGGTGATTCTTGATCTGACTTGAAGTAATCAGACAGATAGCTGGGATCAGGCTCACTTTCCATTAAAGCAAATCCTTAGAAACTCCTGCTCTCATTAACTGAAAATATCAGTACAACATGATCAGAGGTCTTAAAAGCATTGGTAAGTTTTTTGGTAGGACCAGCAGATGTAGCCCAGACTTAAAATTTTTGGGAAACTAAAAGACTTTCTGTGTTAAAACTTTTAACCACAAAGAATCTTGTCCTTCCCTTCATTATAGGTTTAGTATTTTCAATTATCATATCAATTTCACGTGCCATTTGTTAGCTATAATTGCTGAAATAGTGGTGATCACTTCTTTCTGACATGACATCAGAAAATGTACCTCCCCCCAAAGATATATTGATAGATTGCGTATCTTAGAGCTTGTTAATCAAGACTGAGTTCAGCAGCTCTAATAAGAGGTAGTGATTTGTCATACCATCGTTCTAAAAATACTTATACACCTTTTTAATGTACTGCTCCTATACTTTTTTCGGTCTCTATAAAATATTATGAATTTTAAGATGGAAATGCTTACGGAAGATTCAGGTTTTTTAATGTGTTAATACTAACAAGCAGGTCCATTGATGCAAAATCCTTGATTATAGTCTTGACATTCAATCTAGAATTTCTACAACTTCGGAATCTACATCTATTATAATTGCTAAGGTATCTACAGACTAGCTATACCTAATTAAGGATTTTATTGACCTAAAGGCATTTACATTGAATTTTAATTAACAGGAACGAAATTATTTTTGTTCATATTTTGAAATTGTCTTTGTATTTGATCCATAAAATACTATGGTGGAGTCATCTGTGTATTAAGGTTAAATTATGCTGATTAAAAGATCTGGGATTCAAGATTGATTTGTTAAGGATAAGGCTGCTATTGTTAATTTATTTATGGATATTGCTAGACATCACTTTTAAATATGTTCGGCTAGATTTATTGAGTGTTTGCTGGGAAAAAATTCATATTACTCATAAGTGGCTGCTATTGAAATGGCATTTGATATATTGGAGCGGAGCCGTAGTTAGGTATGGAAAAGGCTTGTTGATTCCAGTTAGTTGCAGATTATTACTATAGTTTTTATTAGTTAGATGTGTTAGTAGGCTTATAAAAAGCATTGCTTTCTGTGTTCATTATTTAAATCGATTATTTAGCTAATATTTATAATTTATAATTATATTAATTGATGCAAAATAGACTAATTTTTGCTGGCGGGGTTTTGGGGTTTTGGGGTTTTGGGG